CCCTTCCTTTTCCTCTTTCTCCTCCTCCTCCTCTTCTCTGCCCTTTCTTCGTCTTCTTCTCGCCATGTTCCAGGTCACAGCAAGAGGAAATCTCGGCTCACCAACACCTGGTAAAATGTTTGCTCAAGTTCCCTCACGCAAGGAACTTTTACCCTCAATGAATCTCTCTGATGATCAAACTTTATCCGGAAAACTAAGAGAGAAAAAAATAGGAGAGGCTGGAAAAAAAAAGAAAGATAAAAATATGTCAGTGTGAAGGGGATATCCCGCTCGCCTCGCCTTCTTTAGCGCTCAAACTTCAGCCTTTACTGTCGCTATACATGTGTATATGCACATATCTTGCTTCCCCTTTTTTTCTTTCGTTTTTTCTTTTTTAGTTTAGACTTTGTTTCCACCTCACGTCATCCAGCACCCCTATCGACTCTCGTTTTCCTTTTATGCATACACTGAATTTGCCCATCAACATAACAAACAGTCAAACATAGAAATGCAGCTCACTACAAATTGTTCGTTTTAGAGATACATTTTGCTTGTATTTCTTTCCAGTTTTGTGCTCTTTCTTATTTGTATTTCCATCCTAATTAGCGAGATTCATCGTGTTTCTCTTTTCATCTTTCGCTCTCTCTTTATCTATTTTTCTAAATCGCTATCCATATCTATAAATCTATCCATCATTCTACTCTTTATCTATATCTATTAGCATCTCTCCCCTCCCTCTCTCTCTCTCTCTACCTATCTTTATTTCTCCCTATCAATATCATCTCTTTCTCTCTCTCTATCTATCTATCTTTATCTCTCCCTATCAATATCATCTCTTTCTCTTTCTCTCTCTCTCTCTCTCTCTCTCTCTCTCTCTCTCTCTCTCTCTCTCTCTCTCTCTCTCTCTCTCTCTCTCTCTCTCTCTCTATCTATCTATCTATCTATCTCTCTCTCTCTCTCTCTCTCTCTCTCTCACTCTCACTCACACACAATCTCTCTCTCTCTCTTACAGTTTAATACACTGTCATTGACAATCTTGGGTCGCCTCTACTAAAACGTTTAGTGATGAAGCTATTATTATTAATATTAGCTAATATTGAGGTAGCTTATCCCAATAAAAATCTATCCACAATCATACTGCAGCCTCCACAAGTGAAATGCTGCTTTGAACTGTTGGATGGAGGTTAAGTGCTGCAAATCCGACTCTCGCATTAGCTGATTCCACATTCTGGAGTACTTCGGCAAAAATGTACGTAGAAAGATTTCTGTTCTCACGAAGGGAACGTGAAGTTGTAACGTAGTGAGGTGAGGACTGTTTTGCTGGTGGACCTTGTAAAACACCCATACAACAACCTATGCTGTTTAGAAGATGCCAGTTTAAGAGCTTCTCTTTTGGCCACATCCTTTACATGGCTAGTGAATGTCAACTGATTATCAAACGGCCCTCCAGGGATGCTGATTTCTCTCGTCAGATCGAGTGTTTTCCCATCCACACTAATGGATGAGGCCAGCGGACCTGAGTTTTATTTGGTGCGAGTGTAAACTGCCATCATCGGCTCCATTAGGCGTTGAGTGATAACGTATCAGTAATATGTTTAACTGAGTGCGTTCATGCTTTTCACATGTGAATGATAACGTGCAGCCGTCAACATATGCACAAGCTTCTAGAATCAGATGTAGAATGTCGTTGAAATAGACATCCATAAGAGCGAGCCCATGCTGCTTCCCTGAGGTACAATTGCACTGATTGAATATTTACCTGAAGTGTATCCATTTTTCACAACTTCGAAAGTTCTTCCTCGTAGATAATCTTCATTCAGCTTCAGTAGGTCACCACCAATGCCAAAACTTCTTAGTTTGAAAATAATGCCTTTGTGCCATACTCTGTCTCTTTGCCAGCATCCAGGGATTTGTTCCAATTGGTGACAAATTGTAGTGGTAGGTCGGATGCTGATCTCTTTGATATAAAGCCAAAATGCTTGCTGCTGAGAAGATGGCTGTTGTCAAAGAAGCTTGTCATTCTGTTCATCAGAATTTTTTCGCAGATTTTGCCCATGATCGAGAGTAGTGAGAGGGGCCTGTTGTTTTCTGGGAGTGCCTAGCTTTTCTTTTTGTGCACTACCACAACTCTAGCCTGTTTCCAGATAGATGGCCACTTTTGCTATTGGAGAGAGTTTTGAAATAAGGTGGCAAGTGGAAATGCAATTGCATGTAGGAACTTAGTTTGTCAAGTCCAACGGCTTTATTAACAGTCTTAAGATGATTTTTTTACTTCATCACAGATGACCAGTGAGTTAAGTCTTTGGTTTTTCAGTGACGGAAGCTGAAGAGGTGTGTGGTCAGTTTCACAAACTCGCATCTTCTGAAAGAAGGAGGCAAGTAATTCAGGTTTGTCCTGCCTAGAAATTGCGGTGAAATCTGGCTTATACAATAGTGGTATACAGTCTTGAGACGTGAGACCTAGTGGTGTTTGACTCAACTCCACCAGTTTTTACTGCCGATCGAATGGTTAATAAGTTCT